CCGAAATGTTCGTTACACCGTTAGTGAAATTTTCACTAACCGCTTCACTAACATTTATTTGTACCTCCGACAGGGTCTGTACTACCCACACTGAAATCCGCAGCTGCGCTAGTGTTACCGCCGATTGGTTTGGACTGCGGCATCGCTGGAGAAGCGCAGAAATAAGGAGAGAATACGTCATCGATTTCGGCGCATCACAGTATCTTCAATGCCCATTGCTCCACATATTTGAGTGCAGGGCTCAACCTTTTAATCTCCCTGGTTGATTTGACATTCTGTTCATTTCTAGTCTCAGTCTCAAGCTTTTGGTATTGGAAATTGTCATACTTGTCTTCTGGCACTACAAAGTAGAACTGAATTTTTGTCTTTTTGTCTTGAAGGTATGCTGGCATATGTTCAACAATGTTGACCAAGTGATGATGCATGATTGGGTGTGTTTCTGAAACAGTGACTTGGAACAGACAGTTTGGTGAAAATCTATGGCTGGAAAGTTGCATTTCGTCAGTATGAGAAGCATTGTGCTTGTGTTCCATTTAGATATGTGTTTTGGCAACCTGATAAGCTCAGAGTTTAGGTTTTTTGGCACAAATAGCTTCTCACTGATAACCTTGTATCCCTCAGGTGTTGATGAATTGCAGAAAGATTCCAGTAACTTGTTCCATGACTGCAGCTCCCACTTCTTTAAGACATTCAACTCAATGTGCCTGGACCCCCAGGCAATCGTGCCTTCTTCGTAAGTGACAGGACATGGCAGTCTGTGGATGATGTGATTGCTGATTTCCATGTATTCACCATGGTCTCGGAGGCATTGAAGGAACATATTGACATTGGCAAGACTGGAAAGAGTGGATACAAAACAGTAGGTGGCCTTTGCCTTTGCATTTTCCAAGATGTTCTCACTCATGATTTTGCCTCCCTCCGCAATGCATTTTGCAGGCACCTTTAAAACATATCTTGGTATGCCACCCAAGATCTCATATATTTCCACTACAAGTTTTTCTGGCAAGAGAGGCTGCACCAACTTCTGGCATGCCAAAAGTTCTTCTTCCAACCATGGTGGCATGTGGTATCTGTGGATGAGATCTTTGTCAAACTCTTGAAAGTTTCTGGTCTTGGCAGCCTTTGGTGAAATGGCAATGACAGACTTTGCCAGACATATTAGAGGGTTCACAGTGCCATACTAATACCATGTTTCATCTTTGTTGAGGTGATGCATGAATGTCAACATGTCTGAGGCAACTTCCAAATCATCCAGCCCATGAAAGTGATAGGTGAAACCAGATGCAGCTTGGAAAACCACACTAACATTCTTTTCCACCAGGAGTCAGAAGAGAAGATAGACAAGAAAACATGACTTCCTGACTCCAGAAGTGCCTGTGATAAGGATCTTTGGCTTTTTCGACTGGCCTGCCTTGATCACAATGTCATGGATGTCCTTGTATGACTTCCTTATGTAAAGCTTCGCATCACTGATAACTGCAAGATCTTTGCCTTCAGGATGTTCAATGATGCTGCCAGGCTCAGGGATCATCATTCCTGCATAGGCTTTCACAGTGGTCCATGTGTTCATGAAGTCACATTCTTTGCGATGTTCACCACAGGAGTGGGAAAAAAAGAGAGATTAGCCAACATAGGTTTGACAACATGCATGTCTTGAAAGATCAACCTGACAGGCTAGATTGTCAGTTTGGGGTAAAATGTATACCAGGTTCGACTCCAACACACATCTTCTTGGAAATGTGTCTGCATACATCTACAGGAGAAAAGCATTTAGCATAATTTGTTTTGGTCAAAATCGCAAACAGATGCCAAATGTTGACGAATAAACGAGAAAGATGGAAGCATATTCACTATGCTCTACTCCACGCCCTAATGCCGAGTCACGAAGTCGTTACTACAGCAACTAGCAAAAAAATAAACTTAAACTACTAACATGATTATCACTGTTCAACTTGCACATATGTGTTTAAATACAATT